GTATGATGTGTCCTCATTTTCATCAAATTCTAAAAAGGCTTTAATTTCTTTCTTTATTTCTTCCTTGACCAAGTCATCATTGAGGACAGAGTTATTCAGTTTCAATGGGCATGTGTGTTTTCCATTGGTTTTGTCATTATTAAAGACCAGACTTAGTCTGTGGTGATCTGATAAGATGCAAGGGATTATTTCAAACTTTTTGTATCTGTAGAGGCCTGTTTTGTGACCAATTATATGGTCTATTTTGGAGAAGATACCATGCATGAGGTGCTGAGAAAAAGGTATATTCTTTTGATTTAGGGTGAAATGTTCTATAGATATCTGTTAAGTCCATTTGGTTCATAACTTCTGTTAGTTTCAAAGTGTCTCAGTTTATTTTCTGTTTCCATGATCTTTCCATTGCTGAGAGTGGGGTGTTGAAATTCCCCACTATTATTGTGTGAGGTGTAATGTGTGTTTTGAGTTTTAGTAAAGTTTCTTTTATGTATGTAGGTGCCCTTGCCTGTGGAAGAGTGATGTTCAGAATTGAGAGTTCACCTTGGTAGATTTTTCCTTTGATGAGTATGAAGTGTCCTTCCTTATATTTTTTGAATACTTTTGGATGAAAGTCGATTTTATTTGATATTAGAATGGCTACTCCAGCTTGTTTTTTGGGACCATTTGCATGTAAAATTGTTCTCCATCCTTTTATTGTAAGGTAGCTTCTGTCTTTGTCACTGAGGTGCGTTTCTTGTATGCAGCAAAATTCTGGGTCCTGTTTGTGTATCCAGTCTGATAGTCTGCTTATTTTATTGGGAAATTGAGTCCTTTGATGTTAAGAGATATTAAGGAAAAATGATTGTGTCTTCCTGTTATTTTTGTTATTAGAGGTAGAATTATGTTTATGTAGCTATCTTATTTTGTGGTTGTTGGAAGATTACTTCTTTGCTTTTTCTAGGTTGTAGTTTCCCTCCTTGTGTTGGCATTTTCCATCAATTATCCTTTGAAGTGTTGGCTTTTGGGAAGATATTGTGCAAATTTGTTGTTTTCATGGAATATCTTGGTTTCTAAATCTACAGTGATTGAGAGTTTTGCTGGGTATAGTAGTCTTGGCTTGCATTTGTGTTCTCTTAGGGTCTGTATGATGTCAGTCCAGGCTCTTCTGGCTTTCATAGTCTCTTGTGAGAAGTCTGATGTAATTCTTATAAGTCTGCCTTTATATGTTACTGGACCTTTTTCCCTTACTACTTTTAGTATTTTTTCTTTGTTTTGTGCATTTGATGTTTTGATTATTATGTGATGGGAAGTATTGCTTTTCTGGTCTAGTCTATTTTGTCTTCTGTAGGCTTCTTGTATGTTAATGGGCATCTTGTTCTTTAGGTTAGGGAAGTTTTCCTCAGTAATTTTGTTGAAGATATTTTCTGGCCCTTTAATTTGGGAATCTTCACTCTCATCTATACCTATTATCTTTAGGTTTGGTCTTCTCATTGTGTCCTGGATTTCCTGGATGTTTTGGGTTAGGAGTTTTTTACATTTTGCATTTTCTTTGACAGCTGTCTCAAGGTTTTCCATGGTATCTTCTGCACATGAGATTCTGTCTTCTATCTCTTGCATTCTGTTGGTGATGCTTGCATCTATGACTCCTTATCTCTTTCCTAGGTTTTCTATATCCATGGTTGTCTCGCTTTGAGATTTCTTTATTGTTTCTCTTTCCACTTTCAGATCCTGAATATTTTTGTTTAATTCCTTCTTTGAGTTTTCTTGCAGTTTTTTAAGGGATTTCTGTGTTTTCTCTTTAAGGGTTCTACCTGTTTACTTGTACTCTCCTGTATTTCTTTAAGGGAGTTACTTATGTCCTTCTTAAAATCCTCTATCATCATCATGAGAAGTTATTTTAATTCTGAATCCTGCTTTTCTGGTGTGATGGGGTGTCCAGGGCTTGCTATGGTGGGAGAACTGGGTACTGATTATGCCAAGTATCTTTGGTTTCTGTTGCTTATGTTCTTGCACTTGCCGTTTACCATATGGTTAACTCTAGTGCTACCTGCCCTCACTGTGTAAGACTGGAGTCTGTATTTCCAGTTATCTTGCTTGTGTCATTGGTGTTCAGATTCCAGATGTCTCTGTGGTCTTATGATCCTAATCTCCTGGGTGGAGGAACTCTGGTTCTCAGGCCACCTCTTGGATCTGGAAATCCTTCTGCTCTCGGTGCAGTGGTTCCTTTAGGAAGGCTCAGGACAAGATGTCTCACAAGTGCAAACCAGCTAGGTGTCTGCTGCTCTGAGTGCAGTGGCTCCTCCACTGCTCTGAGTGCAGTGGCTCCTCTAGGATGGCTCAGGATTCAGTATCTCCACAGGAGCAGACGAGTTATGTGTCTGCCCCTGCCAAAAGGATCAGGCAGGGGCAGAAGGGAGGTGGAATTCTGGAGGGGCGAGTTTTGGGTAGCTGGTGGGTCCTGAGCTTTCCTGGTTCCCAGATGTAACTCAGAGGGGTAGGGAGTGAGATGGTGTTCTTACCCACTGCTCTGAGTGCAGTCGCTCCTCTAGGATGGCTCAGGATTCAGTATCTCCACAGGAGCAGACCAGCTATGTGTCTTCCCTAGCCAAAAGGACCAGGCAGGGCCACAACAAAGTACTTTATGGAAATAAAGGAGGAATGTTATCAAATGTCCAATATTTAAAATTAAATTATAACTTGCTAAATATATAGGTAAAGATATTTGCAAATAATTGCTGACAATACTTAGAAACTGTTAGTTTCACAAATATGATCTATAATTTTCTAGATTGAAACCAATAGTCTATCTATCATTATTCACTGAAATTTAATAAATGACAACTCTGTATAATAGAAGAAATAGTGTCCCAGTGTCATTTAGCATGTAAAGTACCCTTCCCTATAGAAACATAGCAGATAAAATGGCCCCTTAATTTCATATCAAATAAATTGAGAGAATGCTTATGTCGTATGTTGTGTGATCCAAATATTAGAGAGTATGATATTACAAAAAGAGATATTCAGTACTATCAATTTATTTTATTAAGAAATCACATTTGAAGAATTGCTCTTGTGTTTTGTCCAATTCTCATTGTTATTCAGTTCAGAATGTTCTCATTTAAAAGTCTTGAAAAACCTGACCCCAAGAGAGGAGTTAGAGGAAGGAATGATGGAGCTGGAGGGGTTAACATCCTCACAGGAAGAATAACAATATCAACCAACCAGACCCACAAAGCTCCCAAGGACTAAACCACCAAGCAAAGAGTCCACTTGGAGGGACCCATGGCTCAATCTGCATATGTAGTAGAGGATTACCTTATCTGTCATCAATGGGAGGGGTGTCCCTTGGTCCTGTGGTGGCTCAATGACCCATCCCTAGGGGAATGTGAAAGTGATGAGACTGAAGGGGGGTGGGTAGATAGGGGAGCACCCTCATAGAAGTAGGGGTGACAGGGGAGGGGATAGGGGTTTAACTGGGAAGGGGGATAACATTTTAAATGTAAATAAATAAACAATAAAACAAAACAAAACAGAAAAACAAAAAAAATTGTGGTATGACATTTGATTCATTTTTTAAAAAGAGATTTATTTTTATTTATTTGTACATGTGTATGACTATGTGTGGATATATGAACGTGGGAAAGAATGTGTCCTAGGGCTCCAGAGAAGGATCTCAGATTCCCTGGAGCTGGAGATACAGACAGATATGACCTGCTGAAATTAGTACTGCAAGACAATCTCAGTTTCTGTGCACAAGCAGTACATATTCTTAACTATTGAACCATCTCTCCATCCTCTTAAAAATTCTTAATAAATAAATATATAAAACCAGAATAGTACAAGAGTAGAAAACATTTACATACAATTAAGAATCTGTTGCATGAATTTTCAAAGGACACTTAGGGATACTGAATAGCTTCCATGTATAAACATTCCAGATCAAGGGTGAAATTGTTCATTTGGTATCAGTGTTGGTGATATTTAAAAGTTGCAAGACTAAATTAAATCATATAGTGGAAGATTGTAGAAAGAAAAATGGCCTCTGAGTTTAACACAACAGACAGTAATACCTTGTTGTGTATAAAATTCTGGCAGTTTAAGTGGTCCTAGAAAATGAAATTATGTCAGAACAGTCTTTTTGATTAATTTTAATAGAAATATAGTGGTTCAGTAAGCAGAATAGATATATAGCCTTATGATTTAACAGAGACGAACCTCATAAATCATAGAGAACATGCAGATACATTTAAGAATCTGTTATATAAGATTCAGTGTTATATTCAAGCAATGAATTGATGTTTAACTAGATTTTCAGGCTATACTTTTTAAATAAAATTTTCATATCAAGCAACTATACAGATTAAAAATATTATTTTCTTTTTCTGAGTGTGATGGTGGAAAAAGAAGTTGTCTGCAAGTGAGCGTCAGGGATCTATATAGGTTGATAGAAATGTTGTGAAGCTGGGTTGTACAGAACTTTTACATTTATTAAAACAAACAAAATATTTAATTGTGTACTGGGAATGTGTGAATTTTTAAGTTATTACTAAATAAAAAATAAGAAAAATAAAAATTCTGGAAATTGTAATATCTTATTAGAGACATTAGTTTTTTCAAATAATTATAGGAAATCAACAGTGCTGCTTGGAGTACTGGTAAAAAAATAATGACACTGATTTAGAAGAAATAAAGATTACTTCTAATGAATATAAATAAATTAAGCTTTCTTAAGAAAACAGTGGTTGCTATATCCTCATAATCCTTATAATCTAAGCATTTCGTGTACTCTCAGGATAGATTAATAAATGAATTTTGAACTTTTGTAAAATAAAAATCTATAACTATTAGGAAGTATTTTTTATTATCTTGAGTCTATAAATTACTTTAGAAAGGATGACATCGTTAATGACCTCATTTTCTCCATACAGTAATATGCAAGGAGGAAGCTACAGGAAATATTTGTGGTTTTGCTATTGACATTTTATCTACAATACATCTGAATTGAATCTGCTCAAAAATCAACAATGAATCCCAAAAGAAATTCTGCTTCACACAAAAACATGTCTGTTCAAAAAGAAAATCATTATAAAAGTTCAAATGATATGGTTCCTATGTCCAGATACGACAAAGAAGTCACTGAATACCCAGAGAAAAGAAACTTTACAGAAAATCCTGAAGAAACTGTAGAGTCATCAAACACTAATATTTTTACGGCTGGGGAAGTTTCAACCCTCACTCAGGTTTTTCATGTATTACTAGAGAAAGAAAATTATTTGACTCAATTTGGTGAAGGTACATTAGCAAAGTTCTATGCACATATCATGGAGAACACTGGTGTCAACTTAGAATCATCTTTTGTCAAAGACCAAGGTCTTTATGTGACAGTGTTTGGCAACCCAGAAGCTGTCACAAACGCTGAGAATGAAATTTTTAAATGGTGTCAAGAACAATATTTACCCTTAACTCTCATTTCCAAACAAGAACATTGCTTTTTTCTAGACCAGACTGGAGATAAATCACAAGATTTGGAGCAAGATGCTGAAATAAATACTCAGATCATAAGTCCACCTAATCAGAGTAAAATTATAAACACTGTTGATGCAAATCGTACAAAGATGAAGTCTTCAGATGGAAGCCTATCTACATCTGCCAGAAGTAGTAAGAATGATATCCAGATACTAGAAATGGAGAAAACATTTAATCCCCTGACTGCTAAACCATACCTTCAAGCAAGTGACATTTTTCAAGAAACAGAGGAGCATGTCCCTTTTCAACTCTCTAGTGCCAAGGAGACAGATGTAGATATTAATGAAAGACAACTGCATGTGGATCAGACAGGTTGTCGTAAAAATGATATCATTGAGACCAGTACTGTAACTGAGGGTATGATGATGAAGTTTCAAGGCAACTGTACCAGAACTGTCAAAAGAAATTTTCTGGAAGAGATCCTAGAAACAAGTGAAGATTCAACTGAACAATCACAGTCAGAAAGCCTATCAGATTCTATGACACAACACAGTGATCCTGACAGTTCTGAGGAGGTATTTAATGAAGCTGATGTCAATGATGATGATTATATTGTTTCTTCGATCTTTGCTCCTTCTTGGTTGCACAGGTTCATTATTGGTAAGAAAGGTGAGAAAATAGCTGAGATAACAGAGTGTGTACCAAAGGTTCAAATACACTTTACAGCAAAAGATAAAATAACACTGAAAGGACCAGCAGATGATGTAAATTATGCTCAAGAAAAATTTGACATCATTGTCAAGGACCTAATGAGCAAAATGGAATATACTGAGATAAACACTGACAGTAAATTTCACAAGTACCTGACAGGGAATAATGGGGAGATCCTAAATAGAATTACAGAGAAGACCCAAGTCTCTATCACAATGTTTCCTGAAAATGAATCGAACCACTCAATCCGAATTGAAGGAGAATCTCTGGGTGTCCACCAGGCCAAAAAAGAACTGCTTGATCTAGCAAATAACTTGGAAGAAGATTACAGCCAGGACATAATCATCAAACACCAATTTCACCACATACTTATTGGGCAAAAAGGTGAAAGGGTTCGTGAAATTTGTAAGAAATTCCCTGATGTTATCCTCAATTTTCCACATCCAGCAGAGAAGAGTGATATTGTTCAACTGATAGGGCCAAGATATGAATCAGAAAAGTGTGCACAATATTTGGAGAATATGTTGACAGATATTAAAGAAAATAACTATTCTATAAGCATTTCTATAACAAAAAAGCTTCACAAAAGAATAATTGGAAAAGGAGCATCAAACATTAAAAAAATCTCTGAAACAACCAACACCCAAATTAGTTTTCCACCAGAAAACTGCAATTCAGAAGAGTTTATCATTACTGGATATCCAGAAAATTGTGAAATTGCACGTAACTGGATTCTTTCAATTCTGCAAGAGATAGCTGATACTGCAGAAGAGGAAATTACCATTTCTGCTAACCTATACAAATGCCTGACTAATCCCAAAGAATCTTTGTTAAATTCAATCATAGAAGAATGTGGAAAGATCCACCTACATTTTCCAAAATCCAAGTCAAACCAGAATAAAGTCATTATCATGGGCTCTGTTGAAAGTGTTGAAAAGGCCAAAGCTAAGCTTCTAAAACTTGCAGAAGAAGAACAAGCTAAGAATTACTCTGAGACTCTCCGTGTCAAATCACAATATCATCAATTCCTACTGAACAAAAATGGAGGTAATATTTCCAAAATCTGTGATGATACTGGGACATGTGTTCTTTTCCGTAACCCTACGAATAAGGACCAAGAATCCATAACAATTACAGGGACTGAGGAGTCTGTTAAAGAGGTGCAAAGACAACTAGAGGATTTAGTTAAAGACTTAGAGAATGAGGTAGACGATTCCATACTAATAAGCCGTAAATTTCATCATTATTTTGTCATGCGGAGGGGCCAGCTTTTAAAAGAAATGGCAGAAGAGTATGGTGGTGTCAGTATTACATTCTCTTATGCAGGGAGACAGAATACAAAAGTCACAATAAAAGGCGCGAAACCTTGCGTTGAGGCAGCGAAGAAACACATTAAGGAGATTTTTGAGCCTTTGGGCTCCCAAGTTACAACACGGTATGTTATACCCCAGAATTTCCAACCTTTTTTCATGGGACCAATAAGTTCACGAATCCAACAAATTGCTAGGGATTATAAAGTTGAAATAAAATTTTCAGATGTAGAGAAACCAGTCCTAAATATGGATCTAGGTACTCAGGAAAAAGGAAAAGAAAAGTGGAAAAAGACTACTAAAGATCTTGCTCCTAATTCTCCAAGGAAAAGTGATACCATATTCATTTCTGGCCAAGTGGAAAATTGCAAGGCAGCTACTGAAGCTCTAGCATCTATAATTCCCGTCACTGCTGAAGTTCATGTGCCCCTTCACCTACATCCTTACATCATTGGGCACAAGGGAAGTGGTTTACGAAAACTAGTAAAGGAATTTGAAGTTCATATGCAGATACCACAACCTGGAAAAAATTCTGATATTATATCTATTATGGGCCTTGCAGCAAATGTGGAACAAGCCAAGATGAAATTACAAAAGCGAGTCAAGGCTTTACAAATGGAAATAGAAGATCGGACACTAAGAAATTTTAAATTAATGTTCAATCTAGATCCTAAACATCGAGCCAAGATCACTGGTCATAAGGGCTTGCTTATTACACAAATTTGCACAGAACATGATGTTACTGTCCGTTTTCCAAAGAAAGGAAGCCATGAGATGCAAGATCAAATCACTATTACTGGGTATAAGGAGAACACTCTAGCTGCTCGAGATGCAATAATGAGAGTGTTACACAAAATTGAAAAAACAATTTCTAAGGAAATCACACTTAACCAGCAGGTTCGTAGCAATGTTATTGGATTCCGTGGAAAAACCATCAATAAAATCATGGATCAATACCAAGTAGATGTATGTTTACCTCCAAAAGGGTCCTATAATCCTAATATCACAGTGACTGGTCTCCCTGATAATGTAGAAAAAGCAATTGAACATATTCTTAATCTTGAAAAATATTATCTGTCAGCTGTTGTAAGCCATGGATCTCAACAAGAACAAATTAAAAGTATGTCCCTTTGCAATATAGCCATGACACCATCCAAGAGTTTTGTGAGAAAGTATGTTCCCTGTTATGCTAAAACAAGCACAAAGCTCCCAGATGTAGATAGTTGTGAACACTTTCCAAGATTAAAACAGCGAATACCTTCAAAGACTCATCCTGCAAAATTGTGACAATGATGATAAAAAAATAAAGTGTTCCAAACTTCTTACTTGAAAATGTCAATTTTTAAATTTATTTTTCTTAAAATCCTATTTATCAACACTGTAAATACATAACTTCTCCTGCACCTTTTTTTCCTCTATGTTCTACTCATGCTTGTCTATTCTTTATAAAATTCATCACACATACACACACACACACACACACACACACACACACACATACAACTAAGTCAATTTAGTACTGGGATAATGGTTGAAAGTATAAAACACATTTGTAATTTCATATATTCTGAAGAGAGAGCATTTTTGTTTTATCAGTTAAGTCTATTATCAGCTATGCAGTAGAGTAGGAGGCTCCTGATTGCTTCCATAAATAGGAATAACAAATGAATATCTGTTTACAGATCATTTCTCTCTTTGACAGTGTTAGCTAACTGGTAAGAATGGTACACTAAACAACTGAGTAATCATTCATACAATGAGTAGAAGTGGAGACACACTAAGCCTAGGGTTTGTGCCAATCATTTCACCATAAAGTCCTGAAAGGATTCCACATAGCCTATACTCTACCTATAGTTTCCAGCTCAAAATCTCTACTTTGGGTCAAAATTCACCTGCTTATCAAAAAAGGGAATGTAACAAATAGGTATTTCTCTATGCCCACCGAAAGGTAGGGAGATCTTACGTAGCTTCACAAACAGTTCCAGGGAATTCACTCCCTAGAATCACTACAAAAACAAGTACAAATACAGTGTTAGAAAAAATCAAAAACATAAAGGACAAAACAAACAAAAATAACATCCACAGTTACTTATTTGACAAAGAAGATGAAGACGATTACTCTTCAAAATGACCTTCATTAGAAGAAAAAACTTGGATCCATGGGGGTGTGGGTAGGGCTTGTTCAGAATTTTGAGTTGAGAGAGAAATTAAGAGTAACAGAACATCATTTCAGAGGGAAAGGATGAAGGAGGGGGAGAGGGGAAGAGAGTTTTCATTCAAAAATATGGGGAAAACGTCATTTGGAGAGATACTACAAAGTGGCCAAGTAGGAAAAGTAGAAGCCATGTACAGTATGATGGGTTGGGGTAGAGAAACAGAGAGTACCTTCAGATAATCACACAGAAAATGGTAATTCCTAACTTTTATACAATTTTTCCCAGTGGTACAGGGAAGTTTTATGATATGTCATTTAATCTGATTAGTCTATAGGACAATAAGCATGACATGAGCAAGTAATGGATAGGACCACACACTTACTTTGCAGTTACAAGAGGTAGCTGTGCTTTGTATATACTTCATGCTCCCATTTCTATCACACTTGGATTTTTGTGCTCCAATCTACACAGCCAGGACTGTTAAATGTCAGAATCAGTCATGGAAAATGGCTTAGTTTCAAATAATATCAGGTGGCTTATGAACAAAAATATATAGGTTTTTATTTCACTCTTTGAAAGGTGAAATCTCTGAAGAAAATTAGATGAAAGACAGAATTCCAAGTACCCATTGAGGCAATGTGGTAAAAAACCTGCCAACCTGCCAGTAGTTTATGAAGCTATTTTTCTCTTCCTCTCTAACCACATTTCTGTAGCCACAACTCCTAGTATTCACATTCCTCCTGGACAGTGAATACAAACTTAGTCTTTCAAATTTCGCAGCTTCCACTCATCGGACTTCAACCTAATAATCCTGGTTCTAAATACTAAGGGGACCAGGTATGTGCAAAGCATGTAAGCCCACAGGAAAGAGAATGTTTTAAATCACCATGCAAGTAAATGAAGAGGCAAATGCCTATCAGAGAACAATGTGGTTGCAGGTTAAAAAAGAGAAGCTTCTAAGTGTGATGGAGAATCTGGGACAGTAAGAACCAAGCACAATACTCTTAGTGCTGTCAAGGTTGGCAGGTGTCTCAACTGCAATAGAATATGCCTTTGTTTAAAGAACAAGTGGAGGAAGGATGTCAAGAATTTAAAATATATAGATAGTTAGATGGATAGATAGATTAGATAGATAGATAGATAGAGATAGAGATATAAATATATAGATATATAGATATAGAGAGATAGAGATAGAGATAGAGATAGAGATAGAGATAGATGTTAATTCAGACTTTTGAAAGTCTACAGCAAATTAGAATCCAGATTTACTATTTACTACTATAACCCTTGGCAAAATCATCTTTGTTTCTTCAAATTCCATTTTCCTATTATGAAAGGAGATGATAATAATCCCAACAAGATTATTTGGATTAAATACTCTCTATCCCAAGTGCTCCACTACATAAACTGTTATTTTAATATATGAGTGAGATTGGGAGAATAGAAATTCATGCTGATAATTAGGCAAATCTTTTTTAAGAAAAGGAAAAGTAAGTTTTTATTTTCTAAATTATTATATGATTCAGGAGACTGAAAGGGAAAATAAGTCTCAAAAGGAAAAAGATAGAAAGAAAGTAACAGGGACCACCTTTTCATTCCTACCTAGACATTTTTAACATTTTATTGCAATGACAGGTGGCCTGGTTTCTAGGTCTCTAACACCCTTGCATAAGGGAGTTAAAGGAGTAGACACAAAATAGCCCTCCAGCAGCCTGAAGAGAAGCTTGCCACTTTCTGAGATTTCAGAGAGGAAAAAGCAGCAATAAATTCTGGTCTACCCAGAATGAAAATTTCTACACATTAAATATTTTATTTGTCAGAGTTTCTGACTCTGAAATTTATGACAGAATTTTATTGCTTATTAGTTCTGGACATTGAAGGTGCTCTTCAAATGTGAGTCATTCTTGACCACAGAACAATGAGGTGAGTTTTAAAGAGCTTCAAAGTGCATTTATCATTTTCTTCCTTAAAGCCTTTTTCCCTTTTTTAGGATATTTTTATCATTTATTTATTTATTTATTTATTTATTTATTTATTTATTTATTTATTTATTATTTACAGGTTATTTATTTATTGATTGATTGATTGATTTCCAATGTTATCCCTTTCCCCTGTTTCCCATCCACAAACCCCCTATCCCATCCCCCCTCACCCTGTTTCTATGAGGGCACTACCTCACTCACCCACCCCTCGCATCACCCCACCATAGCATCCTCCTACATTGGGGCGTGAATCCTTCACAGGACCAAGGGCCTCTACCCCCATTGACATCAGATAAGGCTCCCCTCTGATACATATTCAGCTGGAGCCATGGGTCCCTCCATGTGTACGATTTGGTTGGTAGTTTAGTCTCTCGGAGATCTGCGGGGTCTAGTTAGTTCATACTGTTGTTGTTCTTATAGGGTTTCAAACCCCTTTATCTCCTTCAGTCCTTTCACTAACTCTTCCATTGGGGTCCCCTTGCTCAGTTCAATGATTGTCTGCAAGCATCCACATTTGTATTGGTCAGTCTCTGGTAGCTCTCAGGAAACAGCTATATCAGGTGCCTGTGAACAAGTATTTCTTGGCATCATCAATAGTGCCTGGGTTTGGGGTCTGCATATGGGATGGATCCCTAGGTGGGGCTGTCTCTGGATGGCCTTTCCTTCAGTCTCTGCTCCATTGTTTGTCCCTGTTATTCTTTTAGACAGGAGGAATTCTGGGTTAAAATTTTGTAGATGGGTGGGTGGCCCCATCCCTTAGGGGCCATGCCTAACAACTCGATATGCTCTGTAAAGGTTCTCTCTCCAGTTTGTGGGGAATTTCAGCTAACGTCATCCCTGTTGGGTCCTGAAAGTCTCTTGTTACCTGGCAAATGGGACTTTCTATTGGTTATCCTGTGTTGCCCATTCATCATGGGTACAAACCTGTGTTCAATTTACTGACCCTCTGTACATCTCCCCAGGCTCCTTCCAAGATTCTGGCCACCTCCCCCACTCCTCTCTTCCTCCCAAGATGCTCTAACCATCTACATCCTATGATTATATTGTTTCACCTTCTAAGTAGGACTGAAGCATCCACACTTTGGTCTTCCTTCTTCTTGAGACTCATATGGTCTGGGAGTTATATCATGGGTATTTGGAGTTTTTTTTCCTAGTATCCACCTATCAGTGATAATATACCATGTGTGTTCTTTTGTGACTGTGTTACCTAACTCAGGATGTTATTTTCTAGTTCCATCCATTTGTCTAAGAATTTCATGAAGTCATTGTTTTCAATAACTGAATAGTACTCCATTTTGTAAATGAACCACATTTTCTGGAGCCATTCCTCTGTTGAAGGACATCTGGGTTGTTTCCAGCTTCTGACTATCATAAATGAGGCTGCTATGAACGTAGTGAAGTATCTTTTGGGTAGATTCCCAGGAGTGATATAGCTGGGTCCTCAGGTAGTACTAGGCCAATTTTCTGGGTAAACTTCAGACTTATTTCCAGAGTGGTTGTACCAGCTTACAATCTCACCAACAATGAAGGAGTATTCCTTTTTTCTCCACATCCTAGCCAACATCTGCTGTCACCTGAGTTTTTGAACTTAGCCCCTCATAATGGTGTGAGGTAGAATCTCAGGGTCATTTTGATTTTCACTTCTATGATGACTAAGGATGTTGAACATTTCTATAGGTTCGTCTCTGCCATTTGAGATGCCTCAGATGAAAATTCTTTGTTTAGCTCTATACCCCATTTTTAACAGGGTTATTTGGTTCTCTTGTATCTAACTTCCTGAGCTCTTTTTTATATTGGATATTAGCCCTCTGTTGTATGTAGGATTGGTAAAGATCTTTCCCAAATTTGTACGTTGCTGTTTTGTCCTATTGACACTGCCTTTTACCTTACAGAAGCTTTCCAATTTTATGATGTCCCATTTGTTAATTGTTGACCTTAGAGCATAAGTAACTGGTGTTCTGTACAGGAAATTTTACCCTGTGTCCATGTGTTGGAGCTCTAAAGTTTCTCTTCTATTAGTTTCAGTGTACCTGGTTTTATTGTGGAGTTTCTTGATCCACTTGGACTTGAGCTTTGTACAAGAAGACAAGAATGGATAAATATGCATTCCTGTACATGCTGACCACAGTTGAACCAGCACCACACGTGA